AATGAGGGCGAAACCTTGCCTCTGCTTCACCAAAATGAAATGTCACGGGCCGCCACTGCTCAAGCTGATCATTTTAGCACACGATACAAACGATTTTAGCATTTCACCGTAATTAACGACTTGTCTTATTGGTACATTTTTTCAAAGAATTTGGAGGGTACATTTTATATCAAGTAACCCCTTCTGCCCCTTATCATTTGGGTGAGGATTGTCGTGACATATCACTTTTAGAAATCCTACTATGTAGTGTATCTTTTTTTTTCTTTCGATTTCTCCCTCAACTTTCCTAGAATATAATGTCAAACAACTTCGGGCCAATGTTGGCCAATATTGGACCATGCTAGAAAAAATCTGACGAAAGATATTTTGGCCCAATATTATTACGAATATTGTGGGGAATATATTTATGCTACTGGGGTATTTTATAAGCCCTTTCATGTAAACAGAAAATTAAGAGAGCGAATTAAGTGGATATCGGGGGCCATTATCATAATTATTATCGATCTAGTGCGGCGTAGGAGCGGCCCTGATTGGTTTTGATCGAAAAGGCACTGGCTGAAGGAATAATCAACTGCTCCTTGCTTTGCCTCGCGAACGAAAACAAGCTTGCCATGACTGACTACCTTGATCCTCATTTAGATAGAAATATCCACTCTGGCCGTGGTTCGAGTGTAGCGTGTAAACTAATTGGTGAAAATTGTTATAACCTTTTTTTTCATTTTGGTTGATATTATCCGTAAAATCGAAAACAAAAAACTAAATTACTCGGCAACTTTGGATTTGCTTTGTTTTTATTTGTGAAAATATAATGAAATAGAAGTTAAAATTGGTTTATAATTGTTGTTTTCCCACGGTTCAATCAAGGAAATATAATTTGCCTGCACAAATTGAAAAACTGAATTTATCGTGACGAAATTAATAAAGTTCATAACGTTTAATTCCACGAATATAATTAGGTTTGAGGGTTTTAGTGCAGTGTGCAGTAATTGCTCGGGTGTTTTATTCCATTCACTGAAATTATCTAAAGATTAATGCTCCAAAAAGGTAAAAAAAAATGTAGGACGAAAATGCCCAGCTGCCGCAAGGACTAGGCAAAAGAATCTTACATCATGTACTGAAAAGCACATAAAATCAACAAAAAAATTACGTAACATTAAAATAATCCCCTTGTATAGTAAATGCAAAGGTGTTTTTCGTTACTAGAAGGTATTTTTAATGGTACTTCCCGGTAACCTATATAATTATAAAACAGGTGGTAAACTAACTTTACATTATGAAATGAGGCCCCTAGAAGCCAAGGGGTACATACAAGTATATTTTGTTTATTTCTGAGATGATCATTTTCAGTCAAAATTGTTTGTTGTTTTTTGACTAAGTTTTTAGGCTTTAGGCTACCAAGTAAAATGTACTTTTACTATTATTATTACACCCCATCAAAAATTAGTTATTGGCGTGTACTGATTTTTTTTTAAATATATTAAACAAAATAACGATACTAATTAAGACGTCTAACTCGCAGCAGAGCAGCAACAGCAGCCCATCAGATAAGACCTGAAGATGGTACATGAGATTACATACGGTTCTTTTAAGAACTAAAAACCGACAACACGGAGCAGATCCCGGAAAACCATTAATACCACAGACCTAGGTAGGTAGGTAGGTAGGTCTGTGATTAATACATATATATTTTAATCTAAGTTAGTCGAGAATTTTGACATTTTTTCGACTAATTCTCAATTTATTATTCAATTAAACATGAAAAGTAATTTTAATTATGATTCGATAACTATTGATGATAAATATTATTATAATTGTACGTTTACAAAATTATGTCTTGAAGATAAAATTTAAAGTGTCTTTTTGTCTTTGTATGCTTTGCTCAGTTACAGACTGTAACTTACAGTATAAAAAGACCAGTACAGACAGTCCAGCAATCTAGGCGGCTCAAATTCTAATATTTAAATAGCAGACACAAATTTATTTTCTGTGGTTCAAACTTTGAGCTTAGCACTAAAAGACTCAATCCTCATAACTACCTAAATAACTATTATTAATTTTATAAAAATTTCTTCTTTCATCTAATTGATAAATTTGTAGAATAACTTCTTTATTAATTATTTTTTTCCGAGTGCTAAATGTTAATAACAATGGTAGAGACGCGCATGTAATAAGAAAATTACATGTAATTTGATTCCTAATGATTGTCATTTAAAATAATTTGTTTTTTGAGGTATGCACTTGATAACATCTTATGATCATTTTGTGGCTAATATATCTCGTTTGGTTGTCTATATTTACTTAAGTTATTTTACAATCTCAATTATTAATTTACAAATTACGGTTAATTGGCATTTATTAAATAAAATATGTGTGTGAAGACGAATATTAGCAAGTCATATCAAGGACATCTTGCAATCTATATTTAGTTCACAAAGTGTTTATAGCTAAAAATAGAAAAAAATTAAATAAATTTGTTTTATTAAATTATACTTCTGCATGGCATAAAAAAATAATAAATAAAACACAACTTACTTTCAGGTCCTAAATTAATTTTTACCTACTTCTACATTGACGAACTGACGGCGTTTTAGTCACGGGCCGAAGTTAGCTTTATAATAAATTGCGCGAAAAGTGAGGTTAAATTCGTCAGGTGTCAAATATTTAACAACTAAAATTAGTTTTAAATTTGTGTTCGTCGTGGATAAAGTATAGTTTGCAACTCGTTGTATAAACCTCTTTAGACACTCGTTTTTATTAAACACTCGCTCGCTAAAGTGTTTAAAACTACTTCCACATTTAATACCTAGTTTATTACGCACTGGTACATTAAATTGGTAAAAAGTGAGGTTAAAACCACTTGAAAGTTGTCAGATGTCAAATAAAGTTGTCAGGTGTCAAATATTTAACAACTAAAATTAGTTTTAAATTTGTTTTCGTCGTGGATAAAGTATAGTTTGCAACTCGTTGGATAAACCTCTCTAGACACTCGTTTTTATTAAACACTCGCTCGCTAAAGTGTTTATAAAACTACTTCCACATTTAATACCTAGTGTATTACGCACTGGTGCATTAAATTGGTAAAAAGTGAGGTTAAAACCGCTTGACAGTTGTCAGATGTCAAATAAAGTTGCCTTTATATTCCGAAAAAGATTACTCTGAGTTTGTCATAGATGCCATTCGTTTTATAAATTTCTCAAGATTAATTATTTATTAAAAACTCGCTTCGCAATCTGCGCTCGTGCATAATTAAATTTGTCTATTAAATGTAGTTTATATAACTATATAATAATCTACCTATAGATTGTTAATTTAATATTTTCACCATGGGTTAATAAAACATTTTAAAATTAAATGTCAAAATAATAAAAATTATATATAATAATAATATATTAATTAGTAAAATTAAAAATATAGCATTGACCACCAACATAATCAACATGTTAAATATTCAATGAAAAAAACACTTCTTATGTATCCTTGGCTAAAAAATAATACCTACTTTCTGGTCGATATTTTTTAAGAACAAGTTATGTCCAAATTTTTGTTTATAATTAGCATAATATTTAACAAAAAAAATAAAAATATTATATGTTTATCATTAAAATAAGGTTTTTTCGATTTTTTTTTATTACAAAAAAAATTAAAAAAACTTTACCAAAAACGTGTTAAATAAAAACGCATATAAATTTTTAAGTTCATTTTAAGGGTAACTTAACTCCCCTTCAATAATATATGCGCACGCGCAACAAATGTCAAAAATAAAACAAAAATTCTCACACAAAACCAAAATCAAGCATTAAGTTAAAAAGATAATTATGGTATATAATATAATATAACATTAGGAAAACAAACAAATAAAGCGCATGAGAAACGCAGGAACAATTAATAATGTAACCTACGGTCAGTTATACCTAACTAATTGTCAGTTTTCAACCAAAGATTAATTAGTTTTACTTCCAAGAAAAAAATAACTCTTATTTGATTTTAAGCGACGGTACGAGTTTGTTTATGGGCCTATAGTGGTAGTACTATAATAGCATGTAGTACTTTTTGAGTTGGTGTTATATGACTTACAGCTAATAATTCCGGGGATGAACGCCCCTTCTCTACGCGGTCCTCCAGTTTGTCGATTATACCGGACCAACAAAAAAATCAAAACTACACAACACACAGTGTTAATTTTTCCTCTCCACGAACTCAAGTCTTAGACTTTCGCTACACTCGCGTCTGCGTGCATTTCTAAAACTACATGCGACAATTTTCCTTACAGAAACTTGCATACAATCATGTGAATTGATTGAAACTGACTTTAATGCTGCGCGCCACTTTGCCGCTTCCATTCCCCACCGCATACATAAATATAACACTGTGTAATTTACTTACTTTTTTTGTTTTATTTTCCTTCGCCGCCGAGCTGCCCTCCTCTGTCAGGGCGGCCATGCATCCGTAAAACCCGCCCAGTTAATAGCACCCTTAATTATCGCGACACCAGCGACATCTACACGCGGAAATACCAAGTGCTGAGCGCGTTAGTTGGCTGTATTCGACACCAAACGGCAGCACCAGTCAATCCTGCAGATACTCGATAGCAGAGCAAGCCATGAAACTTTATACGTTTGAAAATACAACTTTTTTGAATATGAACAGCAAAAATATAAGATATCAATGCATCAAAATAATTAAAGGCAAGTAATGTAGAAGTTTTATTTTATTTTATTGTTTCGACCTTTACTTGATAAAAATTCATGTCACTAATGTTTTACGAATTTATTTTATTTTAATTTGACATTTGTTTCGCTAACACGGTAGCTGTTAGCGAAACAATTGTCAAATTAAAATAAAATAAATTCGTGAAACTCAAAAAACAGTTTGTTTTTTACCTATACATTACTTTCAATATTTTGTCAAGGCTTATATTTTTAACTTACCTTTTTCAATGAATTGATAGTTAGTTTAAGAAAACGCAAATTTATTTCTAAAAATATTTATTTAATATTCACTTTGTACAAATAACAAATAAATTAACAAATAATATACAAAATATGGCAGTCTTTTTAAACAAAAAGTTGATCCCTTAAATAACATGATTGTTTTTATTGCATGTACATTTTTACACCTATAAGTAAATAAAATTATTGCAGATAAAGGCCTGTGTAGCCATTATAAAGGCTGGTATTTGATGGCATTAAAGAGTGATTAAACATGTTGTTGTGCATCATATTCTGCTCCACGTTACTCGTAACATATCTCGGATGGTGTAACATTGTTTCAGGAATATAATTCGTGGTGGTTTGTGGGGAATCTGGTTTTGCACTTGGGGGTAATGATGGCACTTGCGGGGGTGTATATTCCTCCACATTTTCCGACTTTAACGGCGATGCGGCTTCGGGTTTGGGAGACTCGCTTTTCTTGCCGTTTTTGTGGGTTTTCACGTGTTTTGCCAGGTGATCTGATCTCATGAATCTTTTGGAGCATATGGTGCAAGCGAAACGTTTTTCGCCAGTGTGAGTTCTGAGGTGTCTTTGTAGTTCATCTGAACGGGTGAATCTTTTTCCGCAGAACAACCAGTTGCATACAAACGGACGTTCGCCTGTGTGCCAACGTAGATGAGCTTGCAGATGCGAGGTTTTCCCGTACACTTTGTCACAACCAGGGTAATGGCATATATGCACCTTTTTCGACGACGGTTTCTTCAAACCGTTCTCCTCGTTCACACAGTTTGGGCACTGACATTTGATGCATCTTCTCGCTTTAGAGGAGTACGTTGGAAAATCACACGGCTTGATGAGGTGCCTATTCATTGACGATAACGTAGGTATGTAACTATTTTGCGACCACTGGTATTGCTGTTGCTGGGGCTGGTATCCACTTGTAGCTATGTCAGCGTGCGGAGGTGAATTTTGGAACCAATATTGGTTACCGTAGCTGTGATTGTACAAGGGCTGGTAGTGCGGGGAGTACTCCAATGGAGAACGGGAGGACTCCAACGGCACTTGCGAAGCGTAACCGTCGCTGCTACATGAAGCTGTGGAAACCGGTGATATTTGTGAGTGCGGCGTGTGATGGGAGTACATCTTGTTGCAGCTCGCAGCTAGGAGGTTCAAAGGAGACATCTGTAAAAAAAACATGATTATTAGTTGGGTTGTTAAGTGAGAGCAATTATATTTGAAGAAGAGGAAGCATTAATAAAATCTAAGTTAATGTTGGGGTGTCGAAGTCTGATTACTATGATTAAAATTTACACGCACTTGAGTTTGCGCAGCGGTCGTGTTGTAGTGGTGAAGAGCAGAGGAGGCCATGACTACACCATACACTTAAACGGTGAACTAATAACTGAGATTGCGGCGTCTGGGATGGAAACAGATGACGATCTTGGCGTGCTGGAGGCGGGGCTGCGCGCCAAGTGTGCGCTAGGCTACGCTCCAGGCCCACTAGGATTCAAAAACCAAAAACTTCGTATCTTCGACCCCGCGCAACCCTTGACCGAAAAATCAAATTTACGGCGGATCAAAGGCGGCGAAGCCCGTTGGTGCCCTTCGACGATCTTTATCTAGTCTTCTTCGCCGTCTTCTTCTTCTTCTTATTCGTTCTTTACTCTGGATTTAATGGAATCACCGACTTTTAATGCTACGTGATTATTATCTTTTTAAATTATTATTTCTTTCTTGATTGACGGCGGGAACATGGAACATCTACTACCGAATGTAAATATGAGTCGGCAGTTTCAAACACCGACATATCCATTTTTTTTTACAAAAAATCAGTTTTGGAATTGTCCTACAATTTGTTAAAACGTTTTTTGTGTTTTAATAATACCTTTTTAAAATTTTAAATGTTTTGGATTAGTTTCAAAGTGGAACAAATCTGTTGCCAGAAAAAAAATGTACCTACTTTTTATTATTAATTTAATAAATTATTATTTTTAGCGTGTTTTTATTTCAGTGTCTTCATTTAAGCTTCTCATCATTTAAACTTGTCATTGTTTCAGCTAAAAATTGATTATAATTATGGGGCAATCAGACAAAAGCAGATAAATCCGTTTTAAGCAGTTTCGAGCGAAAAATCAATATTTTTCGTATCTATGTATTCTATAGAGTATAGTGTTATAAGACCTGAAAACTCATTTTTTATTTTTTGTCCACCTGCATCATGTGTTATAGTAAAAAAAAACAAAATGGATTTATCTAGTGTTGCTTGAATTAACGAGATATCTCGTTATTATTAATCTCCATTTGGTTGAAATGGGAATAAAAAAACTGTTTCATCCATTGGCCTATACAGGGTGGTCCAGAATTAATCTGAAAAATGTTAATGCCATTTAAGTTAATTTAAAATAACAATAATGTGAATTTATATTATTTTCATTGAAACAAGAATTTAAATTGTATTAATTTGGATTTAAATAAATTGGCTAAATTCTGAGTTACTCTTACCTCATTTACTGTTATTCATACCTAACTCATTTTTCAACAAAACTGAATTTATATATTATATAATAATATATATGTAGGTATATATATTATTAAAGTAATAAATTTTATAAAAAGAAATTTTTTTAATAAATATAACAAAAAAAGTACTTTGTCTTAGGGCCGGTTTATCAATGTCCAGTTAAAGTTGCAGTTAGTTATCTGTTAGATAATTTCCATGGATACCATTGTTCTCACAACGATCGATATGAAATTTAACTGTCAGATAGACTAACTGGATCTTAACTAGAGATTGATAAACCGGCCCTTAATAAAGTAAAGATCCCTATTCGTCCAACAATTGCTTTTGTTACGGCAAAAAGATCATTTTTATAAAAATTATTTATCTACAAACGCTGCTTTCAGTAATAGCATTAATTATAAAGTAAATTTACGTTATGTTTATGAAAATAACACTCTTCCAGATGCAGAAAGGCATTGATAAATATAGTTATTATTATTTGTCCAAACAACAGTTCTATACCATTTGGTATAGTATTGGTATTATTCATAGAAATTTTGCAAATTTTACAAATCCCTTTTCGTTTAAAATAAAACTTTTTTTATATTATTATTAAAATTTATGCAAATTTAACAAACAAATTAATTGTTAATTCAATAAACTGTTTTCATAGTAACAATTTTCAACCTACTGTTGGGTGTTAAAGTATTTCTTATTGCCATGATAATATCATAACAACTATTACTTTGTTGGATGAACATTTTTTTTTTATAAAAGCTCAACATTGCTGCTTCATTATAGTAAATAAGAATTTTATTAACAGTAAAAAAAGTTTATTCTGTAAATAAAAGTAATTTCATTACTTTGACAAATCGTAGGTTTTTGTCGCTATAAGACACTGAAAATTTAACCTTAACCTTAGGTGGTACCTACATTTTTTATAGCCATTAGAATTTTAAATTTAAGTTAAATAATATTATTTTATTAATCGCTTACAAAATTAGTTTTATTATCAGTGCATGTACATTTTGTTGAGTGTATAAACAATTATTTTTAATATTTATATTATCATTTAGGTGGTATTAATTTTCTCATGATATTAATATCTAGGTATCACAAAAGGTCCAAAACGGCAACAAATAAAACGATAAGTATTGCGGGCAGATCCGTGATATTAACAGGTATAATTAAACTGCATCACAACGCTATAATTAAAAACATTATATTTTGAAATACTATATAATACTATAATATTTTCAGGTAGCAAAAGGCCAAACTTGTTCACGAATACTACAAAATTTTATAATTAACTTCTGTCCATGAAGTATAATTTTCAACCAAGATTTATTAGTTTTAATTAGAAACCATAAAATAATACAAAACTCACATTGCTGTAGGTAAATCAACCTATTCGCTTTTTTACACAAATACCTAAATCAACATAGCTACGAGTAGTGCTATAGTGTCTGTAATTATACAGGAAAATTCATTAAGTGTTTCATGTAAACATACCTAATATAATTATTAATCTATAGTATAAATTAAGTTTTAAATTAAAGTATAGGTATATTACAAAATATCAAATAAATTTTACCTCAATTCTAAATTCTGGTGCATTTTTCGGGTTTTCCTTTAATAAAATTAAATTTTAACCGGATTACAGAAAATAATTTAAATCTCCAACATAAACTGCATCTATTTGCCTATGTTTAATCCCGCCTTTAAATAATTAACTGACCTCCCCGATTAGTACCTACCTAAATTTTTATTGCCTGTTTCTGCGTAGTTATGGCTACTTTAAACTAAACAAACGAGCGGATTAAGTTGTAATGCAATTTTCAGACACGATTTTTCAAAATAATTGTAATCTTATTATTTCTGCCTTTGTTATCGGTGGTTTATCGCTTCGAGATTGGATTTCACAAGGATTTACGTTAATAATTGAATAAGTCAGGTCATAAAAATTTCGGTTTCGAGCAAATCATCGGTCATCATAAAATTAATTCGAAAATAAAGTATTTTAGGAACTAAGAATTTACTTTTCTACACTCAGAAAAATGTACATGCACTGATAATTATCATTATAATGAAACTAATTTCGTAAGCGATTAATAAAATAATATTATTTAACTAAATTTAAAATTGTAATGGTTATAAAAAAATGTACCACTCAAAGTACATTTTTTATTAAATTTTCGGTGTCTTATTGGGAAAAAAACTACGATTTGTCAAAGTAATGAGATTACTTTTATTTACAGAATAAACTTTTTTTACTGTTAATAAAATTCTCATTTACTATAATGAAGCAGCAATGTTGAGCTTTTATAAAAAAATGTTCATCCAACAAAGTAATAGTTGTTATTGTATTGCCATGGCAATAAGAAATACTTTATTACATAAAGTAATGCGCAGTTGTTATAGTAAAATTTGTTCATTTTACTATGGCATATGTCATTTTTAAATTACTATCGTTGTAATTCAAATTTATTTTATTTCAGTTAGAAAATCTTTCTTAATAGCTTACGTTAAGAACAATAACAAAATTTTTGTTATTTTCCTTAAAAAGGGGGGAAAGGGCCAGCGCTCTCCTTGGTGAACATAACTTTATAATCCTAAGTGTGATAAAATTTAGCATGATTAAAATATCAAAAAGATCACTAAGGAATTTAAAATTTCGACGTTTTCTAAAAGAAACATTTGAGGAGCATCCGTGCAAAACCGGCTAAATCCATTTTATTTATTTTTTGTTTTTTTTTTATTTCGCATCTTTGGGTTTATTTCTATCGACAACCAAGATATTTCTGTTTAAATTCGACTATATCCATGTTAAAATCACATTTTTTTTAGCAAAATCGGTTATTTACAAAACATTTTTTGAAATTTTGGCCTTAATATATAGTTTTTGAAAACGAAAGTATGTCTTATAAATCAAGTACCACAAAGCCCACAAAACTCGAGTTTGCTTTTTCTTTTATCTGTAAAGGCCAGGAAACCGAGAGTTTTTGCCATTTTCCCAACATTTTATTAAAGTGGATATAGCCGGTTTTGCACGGATGCTCCTCATTTAAGGTCTATTCTATAATCGAAGCAGACTTGTTGTTTAAAAAGTGAGTTCATTTTTTATAATGTATCATATAATAAGAGTTGATTATTTTGTTATAATAAATAATTTGTTTTAATGCCTTACAATTATTTAAAAAAAAACTACCCAATACCCAACAGTAGGTTGAAAATGTGACCATTGTTTATTGAATTAATTTGTTGTTAAATTTATGCCCTCGGTGGTGTAGTAGTTATATTTTGTAATTATTTAATTGACAAATAAATTTATTTTGATTTTTGATTTGACTGCGGACTACAAGCCGAGAGGTCGTGGGTTCGAATCCCACCAGGGGTATGGCTGTTTATTTGTGTTTGTCATTGTGTACTTCTGTAATTGGGCCTGGTGCCTGTTGAAGGCACATTAAAAAGTGTAATAAATAAATTTTATTAATATTATATTTTAAACGAAAAGGGATTTGTAAAATTTACAAAATTAGTATGAATAGTACCATTAGGGTTTCATTAATACTACAAAACGTTTTTGTAAACGGTTTAGAACTGTTTTTTTTTGGACAAAACGGTAATTTACTTTATAATTAATGCAAATGCTATTACTGAAAGCAGCGTTTGTAGATAAATAATTTTTATAAAAATGATCTTTTTGCCCTAAAAAAAGCAATTGTTGGACGAATAGGGATCTTTACTTTATTAATACAAACTAATTTTTTCATTATACCTTATATGTGAAAAGGTATTCAGTATTTTAATATATTACATAACAATATGTATTATATATTTATATAAATGAATTACATTTTTTATTA